TGATCCGGCACTATAAATATTTATTAATTATAATTCCATTCAATAAAATAACTACAATAATTTGAATTAATTAATTGCCTTTATTTTTAGCATTCAAAAACAGTAGATAAAGCAGTGTAGAAAAACGCTTTTTTAACGTAAATTAATCGGTTACGAGACTCGTTTACAATTAAAAAACGGACGTAAAAATATTCGCATACGAATGCTTTTTCGATCCGTTTACGACTGTTCGTAGGCGATGCACAATTTAAAGCGAAAAAGTGCTCGAAAAAGAGTCGTAAACGGCTATCATAAACGATTTTTAATCTGGTTTTTCTTCGAGAAAATATCCAATTACGAGCTTGTTTACGATGGTTTTGCTGGCTGGGCGTGTATGCCACCTATAACATCAAAAGCAAATTACGAAAATTTTGTTAAGAATTACAGTGCACACTTTCTTCTTTTGCGTCTAGTAGTTTTTTTTTAAGATTGCTCCAAAAAAATCATAATAAAGAAAGAAGCCAAAGCAGGTATTTAAAGCAAAGAAAAACAATATTATTAAAAGGGCCATGTTCTCTTTGACGTACGTCAAAGGTCAAGTATATAGCTCGGCTATATAGCTTAAGAAATAATATTTTAAGGACATTTTTATCAAAGTTGATATATATGACATTTGACCAGTTTTGATACACAAATACTCCTACGACCACAGGCAACAAAATTGGCTACAATATGTAATTTTTTTGCCACATATACGCTTTATCGGTCCACTTGCAAAATATTCGCATTCGCAAAAGCACCGCATTGATTATTGCGAAAGCGAATGCGAATGTTAAAATTAATGCGGAAGCTCCGTAGTTGCGAATGCGAATGCGAATATTCGCAACAACCCTGATGTATATGTATATCATTTTGAATGATTGTGACTACAAACTAGGTATTAACTATATGTACTGTGGTATTAACATTATTTCATTAGTGTCCCGAATATATTGAAATGTGAAGCACAAAACGGTGAGTTGAATTGATGCCTTCGGTGCCCAATGCTACATACATTGGTCTTGGAGAATTCACAATTCAAATTTATTTTTGTCGCTTTAATTTTGCGGAAATAAATAGAAACCTATCCGTTTAGCGTACACGAAAATATATTCGATTTAGAATTTACTTTTTAAAACTGCTGTACATACATAAATGCGAATGTGGAATTTTAGACATCCGCGGATGCGAATGAGGATGCGGATGTTTAAAAGGTAACATCCGCGGATGCGGATGCGAATCCGGATGTCATGTATTTTTAAGAAATAATTTATGTGGGTAAATTAGGTGACTTAGTTAAATAAAAATTGGAAGGTTAGTTATTTTTAATAATCTGCCTTATCCTGAGTTTCGCCCGAAAATTTGTATTCCGCCCATAGTAAATACATGAAAACCAAAAGTGAAAAGTGAACCGGTTCGGGAAAGTTGAAACTCATGATAACATTAAATGTTTTTTTTTAGTACTTGAATTTAAAAATTGGAACATTGTATTTAATAAAAACTTTTTAAAGGGTCGTAAATCAAACTTGAAGCTTGACAAAATTGTAAATTCATTTCGATTGACACTGCACCAGTTGAGATGACTTTCATTCCCACGACACGTACCGGTATGACTCGGGTTTTACCCGACCAAGGGCTGTTGTTTCGGCGATCTGATCCCGTTTAGGTCGGCGAAGTATCTCAGAAGTTGTTCGTCAATAGGGCTACATTCGCTACGTTTTCTTCTACTCAGGACTGCCAGAGACGACTACACCACAACTCCAGGGGTGGAGTCACCTCAGAGTCTACTCAGGACTACGGACACATCGGCAGTGGACCACGTCTTTTGTGGCCCCCTGCTGCTCTAACAGAGCAGCCTCCACGGCTTGGTTGCTCCTACAATCTGCACGGTATGTCAGACCAGGATATTTCGTAATGTGACATCAGTCAAGTGCAACACCTGCCTTGGCTGGTGCCGCAGGGAGGAATTCATCATTCTTCTTTAGCAAAAAAGTGATGTTCAAGAAATTTTGGGAAAATGGGATTAGCACCGCGCACTTATATGATATATGCGTATCTCAAAAACTACTTGACCGATCTCGACCAAATTTGGTATACACATTGTGTTTAGCCTCATTAAGCACCGTCTTGAATAATTTTGACATCGGACAAAACCTAGTCCCCCTAAAATATAGCTAGCTTTGAGTTTTTTAAAATTATCGTTACATTGGTGGCGCTAAGGAGCCTAAGCGGAATGTGTATACCAAATTTAGTCGAGATCAGTGAAGTAGTTTTTGAGATACACATTTATGATATAAGTTGGCGGTGCGACCCTCATTTTTGTGAAAAGAGCCGTTATTCTCCACCAATTTTATACGAACATATTTTTTGTACGACGCTTAAATCACGACCGGGAACTGCCAAACATAGCGATGTAAAAGAAGCGGCGTAAAATTCATTTCAACATCACGTCAATCGGTACAGTACGAAGATTAATGTCTTGAAATGATCGTGTATGTAGATGCCCTCAATTGAAAAAAGTGTGGCCTTTCGAAAAATTCAACATGGCGTCTAAACTAACCGTAAATTAGAGTTTGCTTTACAACTTTTGTGCCGCTGGAGAACCCAACATTAAAAAAGAAAAAGTAACAGCAGGTTCTTATATTTTTGAGGTTGCTGATTACGAACCTAGAGCATGGTTTTAAAAATTCATAATAGCGAATCCAATATGGCGGCGAAAAAATTAAAATTAATTCGGTCCGCTTGAAACGTTTGCTTCTGGGGTTCTTGGGGCCGTATATTACGAATCAGAGGTGAGGTTTGAAAAATACAAAATGGCGGGCCCAATACGACGAAAAACAAAAATTGAAATCGATTAGATGCTCTTAAAACTTTACAATCAAGGGCTCTGATCACAAATCTAAAATCAGATCAGATTTTTACTAATATGTTACTCATACGCCAGGCACGTACGAGCGATTTAAGTTTTTTCCATAATAAATGGTAGTTCCAATTTGTAATTTGTAATTAGAGACCTTAAGAACCCTTGCCGGTAAAGTTTTAAGCGAATATAATCGATATAAATTTTTTGTCGCCATATTGGATCCGCCATTTTGAATTTTTCCTATCTGACTTCAGATCAGATTTATGTGATCATTTTAAGACCTTAATCTTTGTAATCCGTCCTAAAAAGTGCCGAGATATAGGACCATTTACGGAAACGAGACAGCGGACGAACTCGCAAGGATGAGACACTGGGCAACCATTCCTGCAGAACCTTTCAGAGTGCAGCTGGCTCTCTCTGTATGACGTACTGAAATTCACAAAAGCCGTCAAATAGCATGAGTTGTAGAATAAAAATGGAGCAGCAGGGTGGGAATCCACTTAAACCAACCAACCAACAAAACTTTACCTTGGAAGTTATCTGCAAAGTGACTCCTTTAAGGGCACGGGGAAAAGCCCACCCAACCCTCTCCTAGTGAAGAGCACAACACTAGTTTTGGATAGGTTAGCGGACAGCCCATTCTCACTAGACCAAGTGGCACCTCATATTCAGCCTTTTAGTAAATGAGCGATATATCCTCTAAAACAAATGTTTGTTTCATTCTTTTTCAGATTCATCAGCATTGTTTCGAGCGACGACTTGTATTAAATTTAATTAAAAATACACACTATTCAAATAATTCATCAACACAACGCACGTACATACATATGTTCATAGGGTCCTATTTGTTACTAAAGGAATAAAAGCAATACAAAATAAAGATGAGTGATCGAGAACTACAAAGTTGTAACTCGGGTGGACAATTTATGGATCGTGGGCGTATGAATCAAAATGGTGTTGTACAACCTCTTTTAACGGGTACGTTAGCAAAATGATTGATTAAAATATTTACTATTCCAATGATAACTTGAATTTAAAAGCACATGTATGTACATACAACCATACATTAACATACATATATTATGGTGAACCGCAAATGTAAGAGCCTGACTAGGCCTCTATCTTTTTTCATTTAGTGTTTGTGAGCTAGATATAAATCTATAGCATTGTCTATATTAGGAGAAATTCAAATTAAAGAAGTTAAATAAAAGCTTGTAAAAAGGGGAAATATCCTTAATTTTTATTTGCTGAATAATGACCGCTTATCGCAAGCGATTGACGGTGAAAGCAACGATTATCTCTTGAAATTTTATGAAATTGCGTCATCTGCTATTAAATGGAATATTTTGGAGTATGTATGTATGTTCAAATGTATGTATATACATATATTAAAGATTTTGTTTTACATAATGATTAAGTCAATGGACACTTTACAAGAATTAAAATAAATACATACGCAGGCACGTACATACATACATATCGCACACCGTCTTCAAAAGAGTCACAACTCAAAATAATACGTTTGTCAGAAAATGCGAAAAACTATTTCTTAGCACATGATAGTCATATGGACAAGTGCGACTTTACCTTAGGTTTTTTTTTGACAAATTATAACAAAAATTTGCTCCAGCTTTTGCTAAAAGGTAAATAAAAGCTCTGTGTACATTTTTAGCGCATAATCTCAAAAATGCCAAATTTTGAGTTGTGACGGTGTGCGATATGTACTTATCTCTTACTCATGTGGGTAATTTCCAAGCAAATTGTAAAATCGTTTACTTATGTATGTGAAGACTTGAGGAAATTACGATAGTGCTCTTAGGCCTTAAAAAAGTTGTTTTTTATATTTTGGCATTTTTTCAAAATTATTTCCTGTCACTGTACACTGCCACTTTTTATAATAACCCAACAAACATTTAGGTTTGAGCTCAACTTGAGGTTAAGTTGAGAACTAATATCATGTCCCCACCGGAGCTAACCACGTAGTTATGGCTATTGAGTTGGTTCTCCCGATAACCCACTTGATTTAGCGTAGTTTCGCCATATAAAAATGACAGCACTTAACCATTTCACTGAGATGGTTAAAAGCTAACCCACTCGAAACCACGTCGAAAGTCTGATACAACCCTGTGTTTTCCCGCCATCTGTGGGTCATTAGCGTTAAAATGTAAAGAATTCGTTCCGTACTAGTGTTTGGACTCAACTAAGATCAGATTAGACTTACTCCGGTTTTTGAAAAAATTTGAAATCTACTCCTCTACTCCGCTTGACTTCAAATCTATTCCGTTTTTTTCATTCATGTTATGCCCCTCCTGGGACCGTTTTTTGAGTGTTCACCACCGGTTTCAGTAAAAAAATTGAAAGTTAGCCAAATCTCACTGTTAAAAAGTAACTCTTTCATAGCAATGCGTCAATAAAGTAACTTCGTTATTTTTTGATGTATGGCTGTACAAATTGGCGGATGCAGAACTTTACTTAACTTGTTAAAAAATATATGTAGAATGAAATTTATATAAAGTAGAAAAGGTTTGCTTTTTAAAAAATTAAGTGTTAGATACGTTCTACTATATAGAAAATGCTAAAAATTACCTAAATATGTAACATATTATCCTTACATTGCCCCGCGTTCTTATTTTGCATGAATAGAAAATATTTTAGTCAAACAATTAATGTCAGAAACAAAAATAAAAAATTCAATCTAGTACAGAAAATTTGTTTTTGCTCAGATTTTTGCAGTAATTTAGTTCTGAATCGATTTTTGAGGTCCGAACACTGTTCTTTACATTTGTACTGTTTTATAAACCTCAAACCGCAGTGTGGACAGCAATAGTTAGTGATGTGGTTAAGTTCGATTTGAGATGGTTAACTTTTTGGTGGGGACATGGTATAAGGTAATTCTCAAATCTGTAACGTTGTTTCTCAACAGTACCTCAAGTGGAGGATCATAACGTTCTCAACAAAAAGGGTAGTTTTCTTTGTATCGACATATGACTGTTTCTCAAGCTGAGAAAATGCTAGTTCTCAACTTGAACTCCAACGTGATTCACCAATTGGTCTAGAACATATCATTGAAATACTGAAAGACATAGGTTTTAAATTTAAACATTTATGTATTTATTTTTTTACTCTCTTTGTAATACGTAGTTAATCAATATCGCATAGTGATGGGCAAAATAGCGATTTTTCAGTATCAGTGAAAAGAGTGATTGCGATTTTTAAATCACAGTGATTTTTTATGGCTATTGCGATGGCTAGTTCTTTTAATAACACATAAATGTTAATAGTTAGATCTAATAAATAATGACAAATCAGTGTTCGTACATGTAGAGATAATTCCCTACCCGTAGGTATTTCAGTGGAAAATATGAGTGTAGGAAAAAGAGGGAAAAGCTTCATTTATTCGCTCAAAAACTGCCATATTTCACTTCGTTTTTTATAAATATTTGCAGCCATCTTTACTCGTTGATACAAATTTTGAAATAAAAAACTGAAACGCAAATAACACGATCAAGCAAATCAAACTCCTTACTTGAAAATGTCCATTTAAAACAACCGTGGAAAGGTAATGAAAAAACGTAATATACATACGAGCCTATTTACAATGATAATTAAAAGTTGTAAAATCGCCCTTTCTACCATGATAAAAAAAAAAATCACCATTCCCAACTTCTGTTGACTAGCTATTTGTCAGATGTGATTTTCATTCACAGCGAGATATCATGCAAGTAGAAAAATCACCAATCATTGATATTGTGGCCTGGCAGTAGCAGTCACTATACGCGATTTTTAAATCACAGTGATAAAATCACCGGTAGTGAAATATAGGTGATAATAAAAATATAAGTGATAATAAAAAATATAAATAAACAACGAATATTTAGTATGAAGAATTGTTGGTTTTACTACTAATATAACTAGAAACTGTAGAGTGAGCAATATTCTGCACAAGTAAAGGAGCCGATTTTATGTGTGGGAGCGAGAAGACTGTTTTATTAACCGACTTCCAAAAATGGAGGAGGTTATCAGTTCGTCGGAATATTTTTTATTTTTTTTTTTATGTATGTTACCGCATAACTTTGGACCACGTCAACCGACGTCGATAATTCTTTTTGCATCGGAAAGTTAGTGTCTCAGAGGTGGTCCCATACTAATCTGGTTAAGATCCGATCAGCGGATCATGAGATATATATATATATTTTTTTTTTATCTGGGAGTTGAAGTCGGTTTTTTTTTTGCTAAAAATTACTAGTTACAAAACCTTTCTATTATTGAATCGTGATTAAAACCCTTGGTACAATAAAAACAGGTAGAAGCCAATTTGACGTCAAACCTACAAAAGTCAAAGTTTTCGGGAGAGTAAAAATAGAAATGAGCGTGTGTAAGGAAAAATAAAAAAAATGCATTTCACTGGTCGGGGAAACCAGCCAACAAAGGAGAGTCTTCTCGCCCAATAACCCTCCTTTCCCCGGTAGCGAAGACACTCGAGGCCCTGCTGCTCCCGTATTTTACGAACTACCTGACCCCATCAGCATGGGTTCCGTAAAGTGCATAGCACAACAACAGCACTTAACGCCATAAACACTCAGATAACTGGTGGCCTAAACCGAAACCGCCCCTGTCAGAGAACTATTCGAGTAGTGTTGGACCTGTCCAAGGCGTTCGACACTGTCAGTCATTCAACGCTACTAGAAGATATAGAGGCCTCCTCACTCCCACAGGGACTCAAACGGTGGTCGGCGAATTACCTGAGTGGTCGACACTCGTCAATAATTTTCAGAAACAAAACTAGCAAGCCACGTAAAATTAAACAGGGGGTACCACAGGGTGGTGTCCCGTTCCCGCTACTGTTTAATTATTACATCTCAAAGCTACCTCAACCACCAGAGGGTGTTAATATTGTCTGCTATGCTGACAATTGTTCGATCATGGCGTCTGGGAATGGAATCGATGACTTGTGCTCGAAAGTAAACGGTTATCTCGCCGAACATTCTCACTTCTTCACTGTAGGGAGCCTTGCCCTATCCCCTGCGAAATCCTCGGCAACCCTTTTCACCACCTGGACGAAGGAGGTCAGACTGCAACTGGGTATTCACGTCGATGGCGTAACAATACCGACGGTGAATAACCCGAAAATCCTCGGAGTTACCTTCGACAGTCTGCTCTCCTTCTCGGCGCATACAACCGCAATTGTCAACAAAGTACAGAGCCGCAACAATGTCCTCAAGTCGCTGGCCGGCAGCACTTGGGGCAAAGATAAAGAAACGTTGTTGGCAACATACAAGGCAATTGGCCGACCGGTTGTAAACTATGCAGCGCCTGTATGGTCGCCGGGGACTAGCAGGACACAGTGGATGAAGCTACAGACCTGCCAAAACACGGCATTACGAACAGCCACAGGATGCCTCCTGATGACGCCCCAACACCACCTACATGACCTGGCCCAGATGCTCCCAGTAAAGGAGCATAACATAATGCTGTGCAAGCAGTTCCTTGCTGGGAGCCACAGACGTGGCCATCCCTGCGGACAACTGCTCGCGGAAGAGCCCTCGCCAACGCACGTCAGGAGGCACCTTTACGAACTGACGGACGAAGTCCAGAGGTTTATCAAAAAGATTAAGTAGCATTCTTCTAAAATCAAAAATGATCGCCACATAAGTTATTTTGACAAAAATTCACAGATATGTGATAGCGTTTTTTATAAACAATTCTTATAAATATATGTACAAATATCGATATAAGTAGGTATCGATACTTTCAGCCCGATACTTAGTAGGTATCGATATTTTCTTTCGATGCTACTTCCAAGTACAGGTATCGATACTTCCATGGCATCGTTTTATCCCTATTGGGAACATCATCTATACTAATTATATAAAGAGAAGTCCCTTTTTTTTGTAACAGGTAATCGCGAACGGCTGGTCCGATTTTCATGAAATTTTGTATACAAATAGCTTTCGGTAACCACCATGTTTTAGGCTAAA